AACTTCTAAACAATAGGTTCATCAATAGCAATAACATATGACACCAAAGCGGGTTCAAGCTTTCATCAATTTCTAACCCACATACTTTATCAATGAAATGTGATTACAATCTTTCTAAAACTCATCCCCATCCCAAATATTAAATAAAATCAAATTCTCACTTTTCTCATGCAAGTGAAATATCGGGATCTTTAAGTTCAATCGTAATTCTCACTAAGCATAACTGAATATTCCAACGCTTAATTAATTATACCAAAATCTCCTCTTGACTATAATTATAAAATATAACATGAGTGTTCACTTTCCAATTATCAACATTAACCCCATCAAATTAAACCAAGGGAAAATAAATAAATAAATAAATAAAAGTTATTAAGTCATTTTTGTTTTAATCCAATTCATTCATTTGCTTCAAACAAACTAAAATCACATTCTTTTCTTTTCTATTCAGAGACCACCAAAACCGTTCAAATATCTCATAAAAATTTTGAAGTATGAAATTATTATTATAACATTATTCAACTAGTATAACTAGGAACCCAATACCATACCATATCAACTTAATCTCGCTTATTTCTCTAAATCTCATACTTGGTCAACTTCGTCACTTTTAATCTCATAATATTAAAGTTATGAATTAAACCCAATAACACCCTTTTAATTACAAAGGATTTAAACTATTAACCAAACTAATTTAATTCATAAAATTAGTAAGTCCATTATTTTCACCATCTTTCAAATTAATAACACCTAACTTAACCTCACATGTCTCATCTCTCAAATACACTCACATTTCATGCATAGCCAGTTTTTCCTAAATCTCTACAAATAACAATTTTACAATTTTTTTCTAAAATTACCTAATCAACATGATATTTACCTCAAAAATTATAAAATATGCCCAAGAGTAACATTTTCAAGGTTGTAAGTTCAAAAGTCCATATTTCACATTTTCATTTTCATAAAAGTGTACACAATCTAATCATCAACATATTATTTGCATAAAATATCATGACTATAACACTTTTACAGTTTTTAATCCCAAAACAACTCTATAATCTCAACTCAACAATTTACATTATATTCCTCAATACCAATTTATTTTTCTCAAAAATAAATTCCAAAACTCAAGGATGAGATAAAGATTTCAACATTATTTTCTCAAAATAAATTATCTAACCATAATATGAGGTAGATACAACCCATACAACTATAAATTTTATTTTTGGATTTTTTAACAAAATTATCAACACAAGATGATTTTCCCAAATCAAGTTTCAAATATCAATGTCCTTAACACTTCAACATAATTTTTCTTCCAAAAATTTACCAAACAAAAATCTGAAAAAATATATATATATATGCAATACTTCTTATAATGACATTTTTTTCTCAAAATAATCCTAACATAACTTTAATGTAATAATATGAAGAAAGTCCTTACCTCAAATATGAAGAAAAGCTAATCCGAAAATGCAAACATCACCCAATCATGGATCCAAGACCACCATTGCGAAGACCACGACGAACTCTCCGACTTTCATTTACACTTTTGTAAAATCTCACTCTAAATACTCTCATTTCAAGCTCAAAGATTGAGCAATAATGGAGGAAGAAAAAGAGAGAAAGACGATGAGAGAGGGAGAAAGAGAGATGAAGAGAGAGAGAGAGAGAGAGGGGGAAAGGTTCCTCTGCAAATGCAAGCCAAAAAAAAAGGAAAAGAAGGACAAAAGGGAATTTTTTTCTCAAAATAATCCTAACATAACTTTAATGTAATAATATGAAGAAAGTCCTTACCTCAAATATGAAGAAAAGCTAATCCGAAAATGCAAACATCACCCAATCATGGATCCAAGACCACCATTGCGAAGACCACGACGAACTCTCCGACTTTCATTTACACTTTTGCAAAATCTCACTCTAAATACTCTCATTTCAAGCTTAAAGATTGAGCAATAATGGAGGAAGAAAAAGAGAGAAAGACGATGAGAGAGGGAGAAAGAGAGATGAAGAGAGAGAGAGGGGGAAAGGTGCCTCTGCAAATGCAAGCCAAAAAAAAAGGAAAAGAAGGACAAAAGGGAGGCTACCCCACGTGGGTTGCCTTCCCAAGGGTCGGTCTTTTCTAAGAAAAAATATATAATATAATTTTTTGTAATATTATAAATTATAAAATGATATAATTTTTTTCACTACAAAATATAATATTTTGCTCACCACAAAATGTACACCCATTTTATTCAGTATAAAAATATATAATTTTTCACCATATGGTACACACCATAAAATCAACTATTAAATATTTATTATAATCTTATGTAATAAATAATAACAACTCCCAAAGTGGTTATTACCAATCACATAATTAAAAAAGACCAAATATGAGTAATTAAACAAACTCAAATTAAATTAAATCTAAATCATGGGTCTCACCTATAAAGTGAAACATGGTCCAATTATATACAAAAATAGACCCAACAAATTTATCTCAAATCATGGTCCAAACACCCAAAACTCAAATTTCAAATTCTGCTATAAATTAAACTAAACACCAATCAGTCTGCAAATTCACATAAAATAAATGCACACCATTAAATTTCAAAAATTTTATCCAACATGCTAGACTCTTATAAGAACAACATAATAAAAATTTCATTAATTCTGAGATCGAAAATTATATTTTTTTTAAAAAAAATTTATTACAAAATTGAACCATTTTCACATATAACTTTTCACAACACTCTAATCTAATTATTACTCAATTAATTTATGCACTGACTATTTAAAAAAAATATTTTGGATTTTCACATTTGCCGACATCATTCACCCTAGGATTTGGTTCCTATGCTCATTCATTTTGGTTCTTTCCTTTGGCTTTAGGATCCACATATTCCTCCTCTTCACTGTAGATGTCATCCCCAATTCTCTCTTCCTCTCCGTTGTTGGCCATCTATCCTACTAAGTTCACGTAGACGACGCCAAATTGTGGGTGTTGATTTTCAACCACACAACCAAACAAGGAACTTAGCGAGAGAGAACCGACAAAATAGATTGAGCCAACTACTTGCCAACAAGAAGATGAGAATACTGTGGTGGTTCGCCTACCTGGGGGCACTCCGACGATCAAGTCAGTAAACTTTATCTCTCACAGATATCAAAACAATACTTAAACTCACAAGTCAAAACTTACCTCAAACCCATGAAGGTGCCTCACTTTTATAATCAGCAGTGACCTGGTCCCTTAGTATCCTCACTCCATTGAACTCAAGCTCAATGCTCATTTTGGACTTTCGGCTAGATAGGGATAAACTCCTCATGAGGCTTATCCTTATCCAGATTGAGAACCTCCTCTGTTCTAGGACTCTTATCTCTTATTTGAATACCTCAGGATTCCGATATTACCGTAGAACATCTCGGCAATGCCGTGGTTACCTCGGCAACATGACTCATCCATGTGGCACCTTAGCCAATATCTCGGAGCTATCTTGGTCACATGGCGTCATTCACAAAATACTTCCTCACACTTATTATTATTATTATTATTATTATTATTATTATTATTATTATTACATATATAAATATTATTTTTTTTGTTTTTGCTTTACAGAACCTGTCTATAAATGAGGGCCCAGGCCTCAAGGGCGGAGGCAGAAGCCAAGAGGAGAGCTCCAAGAAGAGTAGGAAAGAGTGGGAGAGTGTTTAGTTTGTGGAGTGGTAGTTTTTAACTGATGTGGATTATATTTATTTTTTTTTTAGGACTGAGATGAAATTCTAATTAAATAATTAAAATTTAATTTTATAAAATTTTAATTGATTTGGATACTGTTATATAATTTTATATTTTTATGTAAATAATATTTTTATCAAATTATGTGTTCACTAGTTATGAATACATGTTATATAATTGTTTTCAATGCTTGTGTGTTAAAATTGTTAGACGAGTCATATCTAGTAAGACGAATTATGCATCAACCGCAGTTTAATGGTAGTTTAGTGGTGATGATCAATGCTAAACTAATATAATTCATGGCTTTCTGGTTTTAAAACACAAATATTTTTAAATGGTGTATCTCGACCAAGGTACATCTTAGTATCTAATTCAATGATTTTTTACAATTTAAATATAATGACTCCCAATTATAAGGTTAGTAGTGAATTCAAAATCTTAAGAATTTTCTCATTTTATTGCACATCATTTCATGTTCAAGCCACAAACAAATTAGTGTCTAAATTAGAAGCAACTTGTCATAATCTTTGTTGTTCGACATTCATTCTCAACTCCTATATTTTAGAGTAGTGGTTATTACTCAGTTTTTAATCAGTATATTTTGATATGCAAACGACCTACCAGTCTTAATTATAACTCAATTGTAACTTTTGAATGCATTTTGGATATTTACCCAACAAAAAACCATGTGATAACTTATTTAACCATATAGGTTCCTTTTTTTTTTTAACTAATTATGAAAAAATGCATCAAATAGAATTATAATCTATTTAAATTTTTATTAAATTAATAATCCATAAAACTATAATTATAAAAGTTAATTTATAAAGTGTTACCAAACGGACATTGTATATTAGGCAAACTATTAAGCATATTCTTTGGAAAAGAACATAATTAAGCATTGGATTTGCTATAACCTGAAATTGTTTACATGCAACATAAGCTTATACAATTCAAGGTAAACAACAAATGCAGCTCCAAGTTCAAAATATCGAAAAAACCATGTGATAACTTATTTAACCATACAGGTTCCTTTTTTTTTTTTTAACTAATTATGAAAAAATGCATCAAATAGAATTATAATCTATTTAAATTTTTATTAAATTAATAATCCATAAAACTATAATTATAAAAGTTAATTTATAAAGTGTTACCAAACGGACATTGTATATTAGGCAAACTATTAAGCATATTTTTTGGAAAAGAACATAATTAAGCATTGGATTTGCTATAACCTGAAATTGTTTACATGCAACATAAGCTTATACAATTCAAGGTAAACAACTCCAAGTTCAAAATATCGAAAGAGAATTTTTTTTTGTTTTTTTTTTGTTTTGAAGAATTGGGCTATAAATCCCATTTCTTAATTTGGTGTCGGTTCCTTTAATTTAATGATATAAAAGACTAGTAATTCATCAATTGCAGTATATCAACATTCACTTTAATCCATCATCTGTTGAAGATTTTCTATCAAATATCCTCTGTCTTGCTTGAGTTGCCTGCAACATGAAAAATTTCTCCAATGAAATCCTACTAAAATGGATGAAGAAGCAAAAACACATTCAAATCGAATTCCAATCCTCTTCATCACATAATCAACAATTGTGCAAAAAACAATTTCAGTAAATTCATATTTTAAACTTAAAACAACTAAATATATATATTAAAACTCATGATAATTTAAAAAATCATGAATTTTGAATTTGGTTATATCTGCAACCCCGTATAAAATGAAGATTTCCTTTTCGAGCTAGTAATGAAATGGATCTTGATCCTCCAACCAAGATCCTATAAAAGATGCTATGCTTAAAAGCACAAACACTTCTAAAAAGAGTAATGTTAGAGATCTTAAAAATTCTATCAAAAATTCTACCAAATGTCTCATATTTTTACTTCTAAAAATGTGATAGGTATTGACACTTATTGAATACTTTTCAAGACATTTCAGACACATGTCTACACGTAGGGATGGCCATTTTCTCTCTCCCCGCTCTGCCCCTGCATCCCTCCCCCACCCTACACGGATTTTCTCCGCCTTAATGAGGAAGTGGGGCGGAGACAGAATTTGTTTCCCCCACCCCTGCCCCATTTATATTTGCTAAATATATTTATATGTTTATTATATATATCATTTAATTTTCTTTTTGTATATGATAAAATTAAAACTCAAAATATTACACTTAGTTTTCATTTTCACTCATTTTTTTTTTCATCTTACATTGTGTGACTTTCATTATTATAAATCACTACCTATAACATATTATATTATTTAAAAAAAAATTATTAATATTTTTATTTTTTAAGTTATGAAATTAATCTATCCTCGTCTCATTCCCGCCCTACCCCCATTACCAACCCGATTTGGCCCGCCCCTGGTACAATATAGACGAGGGAGGGAGACGGCAAACCCATTTTGTGGACATCTCTATCCGCACGTGCTTTATTATTATTGTCCCAAAAACACTTTGGATAGTGTACACGTGTGCATCACTTACACGTACCAAATGCATTACAAATTTAAGAAAAGTAACTTAAGATCAATTGTTAAAATAAAATAAAAAAAAACAAAATAAGTTCATACTTATTAATCCCTCCTCTATACTTTAAAAATTAGTCTTATTTTGTATTTTTGTATTATGTTTAAATGAAATTTTCATATAAATGGCATAAATAAATACAAAAAATTATACATTTTGTGTGTCCCTCGTATGGTTTGTCCTTTTTCTTTTCTTTTTTTAAATTGTCATGTCAATGTATCCTCATGTCCCGGGTCTAAGCTTTTGAGTTGTTACTGTTATGGGTTTTGCGTTCCATCCTCCCATCCAACTCACAATAGCTACTGATACATTCCATTGTTAAAAGAAAAGAGGAAAGGGAAAATTTTCATATAAATGGCATAAATAAATACAAAAAATTATACATTTTGTGTGTCCCTCGTATGGTTTGTCCTTTTTCTTTTCTTTTTTTAAATTGTCATGTCAATGTATCCTCATGTCCCGGGTCTAAGCTTTTGAGTTGTTACTGTTATGGGTTTTGAGTTCCATCCTCCCATCCAACTCACAATAGCTACTGATACATTCCATTGCTAAAAGAAAAGAGGAAAGGGAAAGAAAATTTCAAACTCTGCAAATAGAAATTAAATTTTAACACCCCAAATTTTCTATCATCATTTCCTCAATTTTCCTTTCAATGGTGTGATAGATTCAAATGGATTTTCAGGTTAGAGCAAATAAAAAGCTTCACGAGGTAAAAGAGAGAGAGATTTGACTTGTTTATCCCAATTTGTACTTCTTGTTATTATAGCGAGCATGATTGTTTGAACAAAAGCACCAGCTTGTATTCCAATCCACAAGCCTTTTCCTCTTAATTGTACCCAAAAAGCCAATATGGCAGCAATTGGAATTCCACAAAGATAAAATGCCCCAAGGTTAACATATGCCCCTATATGTTGCCACCCACTTCCCCTAGCAACACCTGCTTAAAAAAATATTTAAAAAAAATTACAATTAGAAATGAACCGAGCTATTTACAAGTTTGGCTTAGCTTTGCTCAATTCGTTAAGTAAATAAATGAGCATGAGTCAAACTTTTGGGCTTGCTTAATAAATGACCTGAGCTTGACTTCGAATAAACTCGGCTTTTTTATTACTCCCTCCGTCCCAAATTGTTTATTCGGCAAATAAAATTAGAACTTATATACAATGTATTCTTGTACCGAAAGTTTTAAATGTTTTTTTTCACTAATTAAAATATCTCATTTAGTACTTTTAATTTGTGGAAAAAAACTGACACAAAAATATATTATTTTTAAGTTAGCCGAACAAATAATTTGGGATGAAGATAGTATTTATTTAAATAATCAAGTAATTAATGTAAAAATATATTATTTGTATATTTAAATGATGTAAATAGTAGGCAAAAAAAATATATATATATATATATATTATTGAGCTTTGAGCTGAGCTCGAGCTCGATGAATTTTTTGAGTTGAACATTTGAGCTTGATAAACAAATGCAATCGAGAGGCTCGACTCAGCTCATTTGTGTTGTGAAGTAATCTTGATTGTTTGTCAAAAATGGAGGCTGAAATTCAATGCATTGGTTGCTGCATTCAATGCGTTGGTTGATAGCCGTATACGCATTAAATGATTTCATACTGATAGCAGTACTTGCAATAAATGCATTCACATTGTATGTTTTTATCTATATATAGCTATGTTATTGTAAGGTTTCAAATGTGTGGGAGAAAGAAACGAAGAGTGCTCTGTTTGTATGTTTTTCCTTAAAATTATTTTGAGTGAATTTAAATTTTAGTTTGGTTCAGTTTTAAACCTCTCATTGTGAATCACCAATAGTGGTTTACACCCCACTCCCACCAACAGTGATATCAGAGCTGAAGGTAGCTTGAATTTGCAGACATTCTGCAAAATTTTCAAGAACAGAGTGTGTTTTCAAAAATTGCCCAGAAATCAAAGTGGTCCAAATCCATTTTTGATCACATCAGCTTGAAGCTCCCGATGAGACGAGCACAACCGTGAAAACCGCGTCAAAAACATAGATCGGACGGCCCTACACATGCTCCACACTCCTCCTGACGTCGTTCTTACGCGCCCCCACTCGCCCACGCGCCACCCGTGCTGCCAGAGGAAGAAGACGTGTCATCCAATGCGCAAACACCCGCCACACACGCGCACCAGAGACCTGACGTCATCCACTGACGTCATCTAAGCCGCTGACTAGCTTTGACCGAGCTGACGTTAACCAAGCCACTAACCGAGCCAAGCCGCCGTTGACCTAAGCCGCTGACTGAGCGAAGCCTGAGTCGCGCCGCTAACCAAGCCGCGTTGACTGAGTCGTTGACTGAGCCGCTAACATCAACACACAGAGGATTAATCCAGTGTGATGCGGCTAAGGTGCAGCCGCAGATCTGAACTGTTCAACTTGTTTTGGCTTGATCTGAGCCATTCGGAGTCTATTTCTGGTGATCCAATAGTGCTTTCCAACTATTTGGAGTATTTCAGACACATTAGTACGATTAGAATTTGAAAATTCCATTCTAAAAATTTAGAGATTTTTAAGGACAACCAATGGCCAACACAAACAACTTCTTTCAGCCCCAATTTCCAAAACCCAGCAAGAAGAACTATGAAAATTAGAGTATTCAAATGCAAGTCCTACTAGCCTCACAAGATTTGTGGGAGTTAGTGGATTGAGGATATGACGAGCCAGCTACTTTCGCAGATGAAGGAAATTTAAATGATGCTCAGAAGATGGCATTAGAAGATTCAAGGAAGAGAGATAAAAAGGCCTTGTATCTACTCTATCAAGGCATTGATGAGTCAAGTTTTGAGAAAATTTCAGCAGCAACAACCTCTAAAGAGGCATGGGGTATTCTTCACAATTCACACCGTGGAATTGAGAAGACGATCAGAGTTCGACTCCATGTGTTACATGGCGAGTTCGAGATATTGCACATGAATGAGAATGAGTCAATTTCTGAGTACTTCAACAGAACATTGACCATTGTTAATCAGATGAGAAGATATAGAGAGAAGATGGAATCTCTTCAAGTGATAGAGATGATTCTCCGATCACTTAGTCCCAAGTTCGAGCACGTGGTTGTCGCAATAGAAGAGTCCAAGGATCTCAGTGCCATGACCACCGATGAGTTGATGGGCACACTTGAGATTCATGAACAAAGGATCAACAAGAAGATTCACTCAAGTTCTCTAGAGCAAGCTCTTCAATCAAAGCTGTCTTTCAGAGATGACAGAAACGAGCAAGTGGGGACATCACAAAGAAACCGAGGAAAAAGTCGTGGTTACAATAACCGAAGTTCTGGTTTTCGAGGAAGAGGTGGAAGAGGTCCAACCAGAGGAGGAAGAAGTCATCCACACATTGCTCCAAGAGGAAGAGCAAGAGGTAGAGGAGGTGGTTACAACAACCGACCAGGATTTGACAAAAGTAATGTTCAGTGCTACCAGTGCCACAAGTTCGGGCATTATAGCAATGAATGCCGAAGTAGAGCAACAACAGAAACCGGAGAGCAAGCAAATTTTTCCGAGGAGGAAACAAACAAAGTTGGACCTACAGTTCTGTTTGTCCACCATGAAGACACTGAAAACCAAAACAATGTTTGGTATCTAGATTCGGGAGCCAGTAATCACATGTGTGGTAAAAAAAAAGCTGTTCGTTGAGCTTAATGAGACTGTACAAGCACAAGTCTCATTTGGTGATTCTTCAAAGACTCCAGTGAAAGGAAGAGGTAATATTCTGATCAAGTTCAAGAATGGAGATCATGATTACATCTCTAATGTTTATTATGTTCTTGCCATGAAGAACAACATTTTGAGTATAAGACAACTCCTAGAGAAAGAATACGACATTAGCATGAAAGATTGTCATCTTACCATCAAAGATAATCATGGTAATTTAATTACTCGGGTAATAATATCCAAGAATCAGATGTTTGCATTGAACATCCAACATGATGTTGCGAAGTGTTTAAGTGCCATCATCAAAGACAAAGACTGGCTATGGCATTTGAGGTTTGGACATCTCAACTTTGGAAGCTTGAAGCTGTTGTCAAACAAGAATATGGTGAAAGGGCTCCCTCATATTGCTCATACTAATGAAGTCTGTAAAAGCTGCATTCTTAGCAAGCATCACAGAACTAGCTTTGCCAAAGAAGTGAAGTGGAGAGCAACAAAGCCACTGGAGTTAGTGCACACTGATGTATGTGGTCCATTGAAGCCAATGTCAAATGGACAGAATAGATATTTTCTCACCTTCATTGATGATTATAGCCGGAAGACATGGGTGTATTTTCTTAAAAGAAAGTCGGAGGTGTTCAATATCTTCAAAGAATTCAAAACTTTTGTAGAGAAGCAAAGTGGCTACTACATCAAAACATCGCGATCAAATCAAGGTGGAGAATATACATTAGATGCTTTCAAGAATTTTGGCAAAGAGCATGGAATCAAGTATCAAACAACACCATCCTATACGCCACAGCTAAATGGTGTTGCTGAAAGGAAAAATCGCACAATCTTGGATATGGCAAGAAGCATGTTGAAAGGAAAGGGACTGCCCAAGCAATTTTGGGCTGAAGCCGTATCATGTGCTGTGTATCTACTAAATAGATGCCCAACTAGGAGCCTTCATTCTATGACTCCAGAAGAAGCTTAGAGTTCACATTAGCCAAGTGTCAACCATCTCAGAATATTTGGGTGTGTTGCGTACACCAAGATTCCAGAAGCAAGAAGAACCAAGCTCGATGATAAGGGAGAAAAATGTATCCTTGTCGGATATGGAGATAGAACAATGGGATACAAGTTGTATAATCTCATTACCAGAAAGGTGATCATGAGTAGAGATGTGATATTTTAAGAAGAAGAGCTTGGAACTGGAATCAAGATGAAGTTGTTAAAGATACATAACTCATTCTTGAAAATGAAACATTAAAAGCTCCAGTTGAAATTACAAGAGAAATTCAAGATGAGCCACAAACTCCTCCACATAGAATACCTGCACCTAGATCGCCAGTTTCTCACAGAAGTGCTGCATCATCATCATCATCATCATCAGCAGCATCATCAAATGATAGTTTTTTAAAACAACCAAGACCGATGAGAAATTTGCAGGAGATATATGAAGCTACAGAAGAAGCATATCTGAATTTGTTCTGCCTACTCGCAGATAGCGATCCACTTACCTTCTCAAAAGCCATCCAAGAAGATAAATGGAAGAAAGCAATGGATGAAGAAATTCATGCCATTGAGAAAAATGACACATGGAAGCTTACCAGTCTACCGGAGGGGCACAAACCCATTGGAGTGAAATGGGTACACAAGACAAAGAGGAATGCACAAGGCGAAGTGCAACGCTACAAGGCAAGATTAGTGGCAAAAGGTTACAAGCATAGAGCTAGAACTGACTATGGAGAGGTGTTTGCTCCAGTTGCTCGGTTGGAGACTATCAAGCTAATGATTTCTTTGGCTGCCTAGCACAAATGGCAAATTTATCAACTTGATGTGAAATTTGCATTTCTTAATGGTTTCCTTGAAGAAGAAATCTATATTGAACAACCTTCGGGGTATGTTCAGAATGGGCATGAAGAAAAAGTGTACAAATTGAAGAAAACACTTTATGGATTGAAGCAAGCTCAGCGTGCATGGAATACTAGAATTGATCAGTATTTTCATGACAATGGTTTTGAAAAATGTCCATATGAGCACGCACTGTATTTGAAGAAGGAAGATGATGGAAGCATGTTGCTTGCTTGTGTTTATGTTGATGATCTAATCTTCACCAGAAACAATCTAGCCATGTTCAAAGACTTTAAAAGAAGCATGGTCCAAGAATTTGAAATGACAAATATTGGATTGATGGCTCATTTTCTCGACATTGAAGTGGCACAAAGAAAAGATGGAATTTTTTATTTCCTAAAGTGGTTATGCCAAGGAAATTCTCAAGAGATATGGAATGGAGAATTGCAATCCAGTGAACACTCCTGTAGACAGTGGAGTGGAGCTCAGAAAAGATACGAAGGTAGGTGATGTGGATCCAACTTATTTTAAGAGCCTAGTTTGAAGTCTTCGCTATCTTACTTGCACCAGGCCAGACATACTCTATGGAGTAGAACTGATTAGTAGATATATGGAAACACCAGATCAGTCACACCTTTATGTAGCAAAGAGGATTCTTTGCTACATCAAAGGTACAATCGATGATGGTTTATTCTATAAACCAACTGATAATTTCAATCTTGTTGGGTACTCAGAAAGAGACTGGGGACGTGACTTGGATGAACATAAAAGTACTACGGGATTTACTTTCTTTATGGGAGATACAGCCTTCACATGGTCGTCCAAGAAGCAAGCCATTGTGACATTATCAACTTGTGAAGCTAAGTATGTTGCAGCCAACTCAGCTATGTGTCATGCAATATGGTTATGGAACATGCTGAAACATTCCACAAGAAAAACCCACTGAGATCTATGTTGATAATCGCTCAGCAATTGCATTGGCAAAGAACCCAGTTTATCATGAAAGAAGTAAGCATATTGACACCTGCTATCATTTCATCCAAGTGCATGTGAAAAATAAAGAGGTGGAATTATTTCCTTGCAAATCTCAAGATCAGCGTGCAGATATTTTCACGAAGCCATTGAAAAATGATCTGCTCAACAAAATGAAGATAATGCTCGGGACGAAGCCGCATGGAGAATCAAGATTAAGGGGGGATGTTGTGAAGTAATCTTGATTGTTTGTCAAAAATGAAGGCTGAAATTCAATGCGTTGGTTGCTACATTCAATGCGTTGGTTGATAACCGTATACGCATTAAATGATTTCATACTGATAGCTGTACTTGCAATAAATGCGTTCACATTGTATGTTTTTATCTATATATAACTATGTTATTGTAAGGTTTCAATGTGTGGGAGAAAGAAACTAAGAGTGCTTTGTTTGTATGTTTTTCCTCAAAATTATTTTGAGTAAATTTCAATTTCAGTTTGGTTCAGTTTTAAACCTCTCATTGTGAATCACCAACAGTGGTTTACACCCCACTCCCACCAACAATTTGTACTCTTAAATATGACATGATTTCATTTTTCAAAATTGCAAATATATACCAAACATTGATAGGGGGAAAAAATGTAACCTGAGAGAACTCCTTGTATGCTATCTATGATAACCGATAAGCAAACCAGAGGAGCCATGGCCGTGACATAATCCACGACTTCTTTCTCATTGCTGAAGGTGTAGCCAAAGACGCGCCTACAGGCAAAGAGGGTTGCACTCACTACTGTAGTCTCTACGACTGCAAGGAACATTACGGCAAATACAGCTACACGAGCCCCTTGTGGATTCCCAGCTCCTAATTCATTTGAAACTCTAGTGCTAAAAAAATCAAAGAAATAAAGAGCAGTTACATAGACATCTATGAAACACCGACACTTCAAAATAAGTGTCGTATCCGTGTCGGACACTTCGGGGACACGCGTACACGTCGAGGACAAGCATGGGACACGCCACGTATCCTCTTATTTAATTAATTTATTTTTAAGAGACACTTTGGGGACACAATATTGTCTTTTTTCCAATTTTCTTTAGTATTTTTGATAACTATTGAATGTTTATTATTTTTTTCTTAAATTTAAATAATTAATAAATCATTCATAATAAAATAAAAATATAGAATTAGAATTAGTTTTTGTTAATATTGATTATTTGTGGATGTAAAATTACTCTACATAGTAAATAAAAATATATGAAAACATATTTTATTGATGTGTCCCCGCTATGTCTGTGTTCTAATTTTTTTGAAATTGTCATGTCTCATATCCACATTTGTATTTGTATTCATATCCGTATCCGTATTCGTGTTCATATCCGTGTTTCGTAGATAGACATAATTGTACATAATTACATGTATAACAAAAAAAAAGAAAAAAAAGTTGTCAGCTGCAACATATTAAATGAACTAACCTCACGGCAGCACTGAATCCATAGGGTATTGCATAGAGCGTTGCAATGGTATTGAGACTGCTCATAAAAACAACCAAAATAAATAGTAAATAAATAAATTGTTGGAGTAGTTATACGAAACTCAATATCACAATTCCATAATGTTAGTGACCCATACTTTTAAATCCACAAATTCATTCACAATGATGTGGTAAGGGAATTGAGCCCTTACATCATTAGTTGGGTAACAAATCAGAAATTGACACATGTCATAGACCACATCATTATGAATATAATTGTGTGAAATTTTGTGGGGATCTCAAACATTTTCCTTCCTATTTATATTTTTGAATATTCAGAAATGTTGAGGATATTAATAATAAACTTTGTCATTCTCTCGAATAGTTTAATCTTTTAGTTGAACTAGTATTGTGATAAAGAACATACCATACAGACAATACAGAAGTTTCAAGCTGTGGATTTGGTAAAAGCCCAGAAAGCAAGATAAGCAGCTCAAATGACCACCATGCAAGACTGCATTCATCACCATTTAGGAAAGGAAAAACCTCATAACTCTGTTTAACAAATTCACAAAAACAAATAAGTTAAATAATTGAAAAAATAAATAAAATAAAATTACCAAATCATAACAGCGGAGGGAATGGCAAAACTGAAGAACTCGCCAACTCCCCGTAACACCTCCATGGAAATTGGGACCCGAGTTTTTTCACAAGAAGAAGAGTACTTCATGTACAATACGAGGAAGATCACGTTCAACCAAATCGAAATATCAATTGCTAATGCACCTCCAAGGTTATCCAATCCGGATTTAAACACTAGAACCCAACAAAGAGGTATGTGAAAAGCAAGAGCGGCACATGAGCTTATAAGAATGGGAAGTGTCAAACTTTGCATTTGGAAGTATCGAACAAGCGGTTGAAGAATTGCATAAGCAAAGAGGGCGGGAACAAGCCAAGTTATGAATTTACCGGCTTCATGTGAAATTAAAGGGTCTTGGCCTATGAAAATGAGTATTTTTCCCATAAAAATCCATAATATGGAGAGAGGAAGACAAAATATGACTAGGGAGAAGATAGCAGTGTAAGTTTGAGTTCCAAGTTTTTGGTATTGTTGAGCTCCATATGCCTGCCCACATAGAGTTTCCAAAGCACAAGCCATCCCTAACTGTAAGATAAATTGAAAATCTAGTTAATTAGTTACAATATCAATTCAAGAAATCTCTATTAGGTTACTCAATTTGAATCATTTGTTTCTTTTCTTGTCAATGTTTGTATATTTTGTGGTTGTTCTAAGGACTAGTCTAGAGGTCTAAGTGTTCAATAGTTGCGGATGAGACAATTGTTTACCTGGTGTGATATTTAAGTTTGAATCTCACTATTGCGCGAAGTAACAACTTTTCCTTGCTCTATTTTTCTCGTACCAATTGTAAAAATAAAAAAATGGACTAATAACCATCTAAAGAAAACTTCAGTCATGTAAAATAAAGCTAGCCTATTACATTTTCAATATAGAATAAGGAGTTCATAAACATCTTTTATGAACATCACAGCCAGGGCCAACAATCACTAACAACGTTTTCCTAGCTTTTACTATGGCAACAAATTATTGTATGTGTGAAAATATGAAATAACAATTACGTTTGTGTTGTATGTCAAGTAATTTTAAATTGACTAAAAAACTGAAAATATTTCAAAAATTATGTACAACCGATATAGGATAAGTATTTTGAGGTCTTGTTTATTTGTCAAAATGGGAGTAGGAGAGGTAATAATGTGGAATTCACTTGTTTTCTTGTATGGTATACAATATTTGATTATTATATTATGTTTAGTTAGAGGAAAATAAAAAACGTGAATAAATTTAAAATTTTATTTTTGATCGTTGTATGAAATGTGAGAGATACCACTTGATGGCCAAAAAGCATATATATATATATATTCTTTCTTTCATACTCAAGTCTCCATTTTCATCAAACAAACATAGCCAAATTATCCATTCAAGACACCCCAAGAAAATATATTTAAAAAGAAAAAAAGGCTTTACTATAGTCTTCGCTTAAAAAAGGACAAATTACATTTAAATGGAAACTAGGTAAAAGAATTACAAACTAATAGAAACCTTTTCAAAATAATAATAAAGTTGAGAAGTTAAAAAAAAAAAAAATTACAAACACATAAAATCAGATTTTTGAAAGATCAATTTGCTCCTTTCATCTTTTGTTCGTGTTTCAACTTTAAAAAACTTGCCACTAAATTGTAATTAAAATCCTCAATCCCGCTTATTTATTGTTTCCCCTAAACAATGCTAGCTGAAAACTGCACCCTTTTCTTTTTTTTTTTTTTTTTGAACAGCAAAAAAAAACTTTATTAATGTAAAAAGCAAAACATACATAAATTACATCAACAAAGCGGGAGAGTGCACCAAGCATCATAGCTAACCTGCATAAACTGCACCCTTTTCTTTGTATAGTATTTCATTTTGTGAAGTAAGGTATACTTGGTTCACTTGACCAAAATGTTCGCATCCATGGACAGGTGTCAGATAGACGAGGCCACTGTGGATGCTGCCTATTCATTTAAAAAATTATAGAAATTTTAAATTGAATAGTAGAGAAAATCATTGTAAAATATAGGCATCAGGTAAGTATGTGCTCTGGTACAAATCAAAATTATAATTATACTCACTTGCACCAAAACAGGTATCTTATTTACATCTTTTTATTTTTGTAATTACTTGCACTTCCTAAGGTCTTATTTGAGAATCTCTAAATTACTAACTTTTTATTTAAAAAAAGTCAAAAGTAAAAAATCTAGGGAGGATTTCTAAAAAGTGGTGTATAGACAAAATCCTTTTATATTAATGGATTTATACATAAATTTATACAATAAAAATTTGTACTATCATCCACTACAACAAATCAAAGTTTTAGAGACCAAATGTTTTGGTATGTAAAAGTAAAAAAATTGTTATAAAATATATTAAAGGATCAATTTCTATCGGAATGAAGATAGCCGCTAAAGGTCGTCTAAAAAAATTCAAAATAAGGTTTTTAGCAACAAAATTTTGAAAATGTAACTAATAAATAGACTTTTAGGGACAAAATAATTTGGTCACAAAATGATTTATTTTTTGAGATAAAAAATTTGGTCCTAAAATGATAATAATTCATCACTAATGTCTAATTTTTGTTATTAAAAATATAATAATGACACTTTTCGCAATAAAAATATTTAGCTCCTAAAAAATAATTTTATCTCTAAAATTTGGTCTCTAAAACTTTAATTTTTTTGTAGTGGTCATTTTAAAATTATTTTTTCTGCCCTAAACTTTTTTGAAAAGTAGCTTTCGTGTTTTTTTGGGTTGTTGAAAATGTTAACAATATTGTTTAAAGACAATTTATCATTTGTACTTTGATAACCTTTGATGATGTAATGAGAGTTTCAAAATACTATAAAGATAATATGATAATTTTTCTATTAAAAAAAAATTAATCACAAAACTTTCTTCATAACAAAAAAATAATTAATTTTTAACAATTACCAAATGTATTAACTTTTAAAATTAAAAAAATAAAATATTATTAAAAACATAATTCTCAAACACCACTTTATTGCCAATCTTAAAAACATTTGGGTGCAATGTATGTTTGGCTCTCTCATTTTTAAAAAAGGGCACACTGCATGACAGATGACCGAAAGAGTGACTATGTTTGGAGAAAATGTGCCCAATTGCTTTGACATTAGTTTTAAAAAGTGTGTATTTTCTTGGCTTCCAAGGTTTTGAATGATAAATTTGTTTATTTTAATGTCATTAATCAAGATTTTTAACTTCTTCATTATAATTATTATGTGGTAGAAATCTGTCTAACATCAATTCCATGGAGACACTTAACTAATCTTGTAAAATGTGTTTTAAGAGATATTTTCAATCAAGGTCGGACAAAATTGTGCTCGGATAGTCCGCATATAAAAGGAAAAGAGTAATGTTAGGGATCTCAAATATTTTATTAATATTTTTATTAAATATCTCGCATGGGTGTAAGATGTGAGATATTTGGTATAAATATTGACAAAATATTTGGGTCGCTAACATTTTTCAAAGGGAAAGATGTGAGTGTTAAGTAAATCTGTAATAAAATTAATACAATTCAAATTTCAAAAGGAAAAAGGAACCCAAAAAAAAAATAAAATAAAATAAAAATTATTACAATTAGAATTACAAAAACTAAAATGGTAGATAATACAAACTACGGATGTAATTTACCCAATAACATAATGATGTCATAATTTTAACCAGTTTGGGGAGGCTGTTGTGCACCATGCGCAGCAGTGACTGTTGCGCAGTCAATGGGGCCTTTTTTAGATCTCATTTCGACGATCTGAACCGTTCAATTTTTAAAAGATATTGAGTGGAATATGCAGACAAAAATTCAAATTAATCAGATTTCGGTATTTCTTTCATCAAGACATGTTTGTATTTATATTTATACTTAAAATTAAATTTACCATTCAATTTTTTAAATACAAATATGTCTAGATGAACAAGATACCAATCTCCGATTAACTTAAATTTTTACAAGTGTATTTTACTCACTGTTTTCTAAAAAGTGAATTGTTTGGATCGTCGGAATGAAGGCCAAAAAAGGCCCCATTAACTGTGCAATAGTGGCTGCTACGCATGGTTTGCAACAGTCTTCCCAATCCCAATTTTAACACTAAAATAACTTACCACGTTTACATACATATATATCTATATATATTTGTGTGTGAAAATTAAAAAAAAAAAAAAAAACACATGTTCACAGTGTTCATCTTGGATGTGTCGTGGATTAGAAACATGTAAGACGAATGGTACAACACATTTCACTTACACATCTATATTTCTCAAAGGATAAATTACACTTACAATTCTTAAAATTTGAGTTTAAAACATAGTATCTCTTGACGTTTAGAAAATTAAACCAACCCTTCTGTCATTATAATTAACTAAACAAAATGAAAACATTGAACGCATACACTCTCTCTTTTCTTACTTTACTTTACTTACTTCCTCTAATTCTTTTCCTTTCATTTTCTTTGCTTTACTTTTTTTTTTTCAATATAATTTTATTTATTTTTCTACTAGGAGTTGTTGCATTTTATATATGCAGGGATTTGTGAAATAAGACTATTAACCATAGGTGTGAAAATGTAATTTTCATAACATTAGGAGATGAGATGTAATTGGATCAAATCTCAAGAGGTGTCAACATAATTTCACTACAAGAAAACCTGGCTAATAACACGGAGGTTTTTGCGACGGGGTGATTACCGTTTTTTGCGACGGGAAATAGTTACCGTCTCCAAAAAAAGAATTTTTTGCGACGATATATATTTGCCATCGCCAAAAGACGACTTTGTGACGGCGTGTATCTACCGTCGAGAAACATGGCCTTTTGCGACGGTGAGTATTCCGTCGCTAAAGGTTGTAAAAAGAAATTTGCAGAAATATTGGCGACGCACGGTATACCGTCGCAAAAAACGTCTTATTAGCGATGGTTAAATTTTACTGTCGCAAAAGGGGTACCATTTGCGACAGCAGAAGACCATCGCAAAAAAACTCTGGTAAAACGACGTCGTTTCATATATTAATTACGCTCATTTGCGACGGTTAAAATATACCGTCGCAAATAAATAAAATTTGGTTCTCGCTGTCTATCCCATTTCGCGGTCAAATTCCTAAATTCCTCATATTTCCAAAGAGACCATTCTTGTGCATCCTCAAATCTTGAATTAAACCAATCCTTGTTTTTGTGGATTCTGTTTCTCATATCTTCTTGGGATTCAAAAGTTAGAACATATGATTTACCCCCCATAGCACGCACCTGAATTTTCTTGGCATCCTCAGGAGAGAAGGAGCTCAATATGGACTGATCTGCATTTGGAAGGCTTGCTTTCACCACCACACTCCTATAGAGCCATTCATTACCCGCTTCCGTCGCGTGTACTTTGATAGAAGGTTCAGAAACTTGTACCTTTTTAGCTTGGTCACAAGCTAGAACATTGCTTTTTACAATGTCTGCATAAGAAAGTTTGTTTTGATTTTGCACACTTGGCAAATGCAATGTGTTGGAATAACGAGCTTCATGAAAATTGGATCTCAATATTTGTTCTGCCTGAAAGTGCTTAGGATATGGTGGCCTCTCAAATCTTGCAGGCTTGACAATAAGATGATAATCACCATACCATGCTCTGTTGAGTTTCCTAACTGCCTCCTCTGCCGAAGCTGGCCTCTCGTAGCGGATGAAGCCAAATCTTGAGTTGAAACGCTTGGTTCTTCTATTTGGGATTGAGGCGTGGACTACACTTCCAAATCTTTGAAAAATGCCCTTCAGGGAAGACACCTGCATCTGCTCGGGAATGTTGGCTATGAAGATTGTGGGAGATGTTCTAGGTTGTCTATGCTTTCTAGAGACGGTTGTCCAGTCATGGTCGGTGTCTCCATTGTTGTGGCCAGCATCCATTCTTTGCTTTCCTCTGTTCATATATTATATACATGTAGATACATTTAGTAAATATAAATGAAACTGGGGCGAGAGAAGTAAAACCCATTCTTACCCTACTCTCTCAATGAGGCAGGAAAAACCTGTGCAAGGCATGACAGGAGGAAAATGGTCATTCCGTCACAAGGTTAACTAAAAACAATTAACTTTAGGAACACTCAGATAAAATGTAAATTTGGATATGGAATTCTAAAAAATGGGCTACATTAACAAATCGAGTAAAATTATATCCATTTATATGAAGGCTGAAAGCAGCTTGCAAGCTAGTTTATTGATTTTTTGACTTATTTGAGTCATATCATTTCTCTGTACTTTTTGAATGTCTTTTTGTAATAAGCAAAAAAACTAATTTATTTGGCACTTTGTGTGTGTGTGTGTTGTTTCCATGTTAATAGTTGGACTGTTCGAGAGCTTATTTAGCATGTTGGATATTAACACTTTTTTTTTATAATCTTTTTTGAGTCACATCACCTTTTTATTTTTTTACATATATTTTCATAAAAAATTAAAAAATATACCACCTTTAAATCAAGATAAATCATTCAATATTTCTGAAACAAATTTATATGGTGCTTGAATTTGGTAGTTAGTGGTTCACCACTTTTTGTTCGTGTTTTAAAGATATGGTATAGAGTATTGATCCAAAAACACCAAATAAAATTTCTTAAATAAATCCATCCATAACAGTGGTGGTTTACTAAAAAATTGATAAGGAAAATTATATTGTATTATTAATAATATCAATTCTATTGTTAAGTAATAGGGATGGCAAAATTTCTTAACCCAATTGTATTTGACTAAATTTATTTTTAATTAAAAAAAAAAGTTTGGGAGGGTACTAATAGAATAGGGCCAATTATAAAACTATAAAAGTCAAAATTGCCAAGATTTTGGGTTAAAAATTTTGAAATTATATCATCAAAAATAATTATATTTAAAATTGAGAATTCACATGTAAAACTCAAAAGTCCTCAACCTATTTCCATCCCTAAATAATACCATGAAAATCACTTCATTTTTTACATATAATTTTACTCATTCAAAATTTTTCCATGTCTGAATCTAAAAAGTTAGAATTGTCTTGATGCATACTACACAGAAATAGAAATATCTAAGACATCCCCTACTCCATCTTATCAAGTCCTCTAAAACTACATGAAAACTCCATGCAACCACTATCATATATAATGATGTTTTAAATCAATTCAAAATTTTACAGGTGAAATATATTAAATCACGTTCGTTTGAAAATAAATGATGACTAACTTAGTGTATGTAAGTTTTTGATCAGCGGAAAATATCATGCAAATAATATTTCCATAATTCTTCAAAAGTATCTAATAATCGTCTCAATAATAGACAATAGTAAACTAAGTAAAACAAACTTCTACGTAAGCATTGGTTGTTTTTTTTATTAGAACAAAAATTTGGTTATGGTTGATGTGTTTTATTATAAGTTTGAAGTTGTTAATTAGAAATTTATTATTAATTTAAGGTTGTTTGGAGTGTCCTAAATAAGTACACTTTTTGATTTTTTGGACTAAAAAGTTGAAGAAAATAATATGGTTGTTTGGGTTAACTTTTTGATTTTTTATGAAAAAATGTGTATTAAAATATTGTATAAATTAGTGTGTAGTTAGAGTGTAGCTGAAGATTAGAGGGTGACTGTAGACACCCCATTTTTTACCGCCCTTAAAACTTGGGCACTACTGATGGTTTACGTGGTGGAGAAAGTTGAGCAGGGCAAAGGTTCAATTTCTTCGGCAAGAGGAGAGTCAAACCCTAACCTCACACCTCATTTCTTGATCAAAAGATTTTAGATATTAAAACCATCTCTTTTGAAATATTTCTAAAATAAAGTTCCTACAATGTCTCGAGGCTCACATTTTGTTAAATGTCGCGCTTTTCGGTAAACCGAACCAGGACAAAGTGGAAATGAATGAAAGAGAGATGGAATCTTTGAAAAATCTTTCAAAACAACTTGCTTAGGGGTTTGAAGTTGAGGAAAATAGGAGAAAATGGGAGAAATCCAGTTGGGGGAGAAAATGAGCATGAACCGTTAAGAGAGAGTCGAGCAACCCTCGCTGAATCGGGCCTATTCGTTTGTACACTTGGATTTAAGATATGAGGCCATTACCATTGGAAAGGAGACTTCCGGGGCTTCATTTTACACTCAAGAATCGCCTAAAGCCAAGTCTGGACGGGGGAGATATGGTTGGTTGAAGTAGGGCATCAATCCGATTGGACCGAATCTACGCGGCTTCACCAAAACAGGCATAACTTTTTGCACAGTTGGAATTTTAATGCAAGGTTGGCGCCATTGGAAAGATAACTTCTGGGGCTTCATTTGGACACTTGGCCGACCAGAAAATCACCTGGACGACCACTTAGGTGGTAAAAAAGTGGTCGGTCGACCACTAAAAGTAGCAGGCTGACCACTTTTTTTGGTCGGCAGTTGTCCTTCTGTTTTGTCTGACTGAGTGGATGCCAGCTGTGCCAGCTGGAGGGCATAGACTAGATCTTCCATACACGTGTATGGAGGATATGCACCCTTGTTTAGCTTCTCCAAGAAGCTTGAACCCTTTGCTTTGTCTATAGGAGAGGCCCTCCCTCTCCTTTGTTGAGGTTCAGATTTTTGGCTAAGGGTCCAAGGCATATATCTCTCTATATCTCTATATTTAGGCTTAGAAAGTGTTGGTTCTTGACCCCTTTGCACCACAACTCTTAAGCACACACCTCCACCATTGTTCTAAGGTTCTTGGAGGGTCTTGAGAGGTCTCAAAGGGCTAGTTTTTGGTCCAAGAAGCTGCTATCTTTGCTGAGCTACAAGGGTAATCACTTTTCCCTCTTTTAGGCATTAACTTGATCATTGTCTTAGCCATATTTGCATGCATATTTGAGCTTTGTTGTCAATTGAAAAAAGCTTCATATTTAAGTACTTTCCATGTTTGTTTAAGGCTATTTTGGTGTTTGAGATCATCAACACTCTTGCATACTCTATTTGTCCTTGTTTTGTGCCATGCCAGAAGGCATTCGAGATAGTCTTTGCTTGGCCTTCCTACCACTGAAATCCAGTGGATTTTCAGTGGTGGTTATGTAGTTTTGAGGGCCAAAATGAGAGAGGGGTGCCCCTCTCTCTTTTGGCCTTGTTTGTTTGCATTTTTGGCCTTTCAAATGAGCCTATATTTTCGTACTTCCAAGCCTTGGTTCAGGCATTTTTCAGTAGATTTTTGGGCATTATTTGGCATGTCATACCTCTGTCTTTTGCTGATTTAGTGGTTTCTTGAATGCTTCATATGCTTGTAGTGTAAACCATGCTTACTAGCTTATATTGCATGTTGTTTTGGCCCTTGATGCTAGCATATTTTGCCCATCATCTAAACTGATCTTATGCATATTTTGGGCTACCTTAGCTCTGTTTTGAGGTCCCATGGTCGAATGATGCTTGCCATGTATGCTTGTAGTGTAATAGCCATGCCTAGCCTTGAGTTTTGAAGCCTCTTGCATGCTTAAATTGAAGTGTTTGCATGTTTTAGCATCATTGTGCATAATATTTCAGAGCATATACACTTGCCATATTCCCATGTTTATCACTCTTTAAATGTGTTTGAGAGTTGTGCTTGTATACCTCATTTATGGGCCATTGCATGAGCTTCATTTAAATACATTTCAAGCCATCATCCCAACCCAATTTGCCACTGTTTTGGGCCTGCATAGGGACTGTTTGGGGTTGGTTTGATCATTTGTGCATTATTGCATACCTCTAGTGTAATGTGCTTCACTAGTTTTGGTATTTGAGTCATCCAACATGCATTGTGTGAGTTGTTTGCATGATTCGGGACCATCTTGTATGCCATTTCAAAGCTGGGACTTGTGCTATTGTATGCCATATTTCATCCTTCTAATGCTCTTGTAGAGTTGTGCTTTGTGCCCTAGACTCGGAGCCATTGCACCTTGCATGTTTGTGTGTGTTGTTGTTGCCTCATTTTCATTATGTTTGGCCACTGATTCGGGTGTGGCTAAGGTCCACTCATCTTGGTGTAAGTCCATTCTTGCATTGAGTATGCCATTGTAGTTCATAGCATTGAGTATGCCATGTCAGCGCATGTTTGATCATTGCATTGCGTATGCCTTAGTCGTAACATCGCGTATGTTAATTTCCACGTGCATTGCGTATGCCATATAGTCCATGTGCATTGAGTATGTCATTTTTGGTTCATAGCATTGTGTATGCCATTTGCATGTTTGCATGTCATTTAGTGCATCTTTGCATCACTTAGTTGCATTGCATTTATGGTTGTATATCCGAGGTCGCATTGTGCATGCCTTACTTGTTGCATTGTGTTTGGAGTAGGAGTTAGTCCAAACACAGGAAACGAGGAACGTTTCATACTCAAAGTGACGAAACGTGCCTCAATTCCTGGTCACCGATACTCTTGACTTTCCATGATAGAGTTGTTGGCTTTAGGTGTGTATATATGCATTCATGTCATATTGAGTCATGCAATTCGACTCTTCGGCCATCATGCATCGGGATGAGTGATTGAAGGCCCAAGGATCGAGGACTACACTCCCTAGAGCTTATGCAATGATGGGGAGAGTGGTCGTGCACACATTTGTTGAAAATACCTTGTCATGCCTCTTTCTTGCTTTGTGTTGCAGAAAACCAGAATCCAAGGGCAGAAAGTGGTCGGCCGACCAGGTTTTCTGGCAGGCCGACCACCTTTTTTGGTCTCCACCACAAAGGGTGGTCGGCAGGTGGTCTCCCATTGCATTGGCTGGTCGGCAGCCCTCCCACAGCTTCCCAGAGTGGAGTTTCAGCCTCTTGGAGCTTTGTGCAAGTTTCTGAGATCAATTGCAAACAAAGGCAAGTCGGGACGTCGCAATGGATTTCCCGACAAGGCGACTCGAGCATGCATGCATTCTTTGTCATCCAAAACAGAGATGGGGCAGTCCATTTGTATGCTAGTTTATTTGCTTATTTAGTTAATTTGTCAATTAATTAGAGTTGTGTAATAATTAGCTGTAGCTGTTATTCATTTCGGTTCTATATTATTTATTCGGACCCCTCAAGAGAGGGCAATGTTGTAATAAGTGTGCGTGTGTGTGATCCATGTCTTCTAACCCCTGCTTCTTTCTCTCTTTTATTTACTAACTTACGATGGTTAGTTTTAGGGCATGTTTCAGTTAACATCCTTATGTTATGCATGTTTGCATCATTCATCTGTATTGCATGCACCGGGCTCGGCGCATCATACTAACTGCATCGTATTTCATTTCCTACTTGAATACATGTATTGAGTTGTATTTCATATGTCATTTTAGAATAGCCGAGCCTATCTCAGTTGCATTTTGCATGTGCTGTATTAGGCATCCTTAACATAGCTAGGATCATGTATCGATTTCTAACATAGCTTTTGTTTTGACTTAGAGTATTCGGTGAGTGTTTATGCTTTAGCATCCTTGCATGCGTGTGAGTGTTGCCATGATAGCATGCTTGCCATGAGGCTATGTGCTTATGTGATATAACTGTTTGGATGCCTGTGTGTGAAGGTTGGATTATTTGAATTGAAACAATTCATTGATTGCAAGTTTTAAGCCCACTTGAGAGTGGCAAAATTATGTTTTCCCTAAGCTCACTTGAGGGTGGCAAAATCCACATTTTAGCCTACTTGCGAGTAGCAAGTCGCTTTAAAAAACAAGCATGAGATGATTTGTTCCAACTTAGGCAATCCAGTCTATACTTGTACGCTATGTGCATCACGTAGTAATTCTAGGTTAATACACCGAAATAAGAACGCATGTGTTTTCAAAAACAAGATATCATATTTAGTAGTGGCCAATCTTTGATCGGGCGAGCGGTGGTGCTCATTGCATGACCTTCCCCAATCGTACCCAAGTTTCTGAGCCGAGGCAACTTTGGTGATGACGGACACGTGGCATTCGGCACGAGTCAAGGTTTCCTAAATTCTTCCAAAATAAAATATTTAGGTGGCGACTCTGTATCTGGCAAAGCAGTCCATACTTGGCACTTCTTTCTAAAAATCAATTTTTCAAAATGATTTGCCGGATTTGGACTCTTTGGTGATTTATCGGTATTGTATTGCACTTTGCGAGACCAGATTCAGAACCGTGACATTTGAGTCCGAACTGTAGTGAGCCTAATGAACAAAACGGGATTTCTCCCAGGACGTTCGGGCGTGTCTACAGTGACTTGTACGGCTGTCATGTATGCAAAGGTGGAATAGATGGTAAAAAGTAATTGTCTACTCTTTAGGCATTGTACTGGACGGTGCTATTCGGCTCGTGGGAGCCATCACGGGTCCCGTTTTGATAATCTGAACCGTTTAATATGTAGAACTTGTTAAGTACTATATGTCTGTAAAAAAATTATGTTAATCGGATATCGATAGCGATCTAATCAGATTTGTTTTTTTCCAACTGTTAATTATAACATCTTTATTTTTTTATACAAAATTGATTTGATCATATAGTCATCGACATCCGATCAATGTGATTTTTAACAGCCATATAGTATTTGACGAGTTTTACACATTAAACGGTTCAGATTATCAAAACGGGACCCGTGATGGCCATTTTAGAATAGCCGAGCCTGTCTTAGTTACATTTTTGCATGTGTTGCATTAGGCATCTCAGCATAGTTAGGATTCATGCATGTTTTCTAATTAGCTTTTTTCTTTGGCTCGGAGTACTCGATAAGTATTTATGCTTTGGCATCCTTGCATGCGTGTGAGTGATTGCCATGATAGCATGCTTACCATGAGGCTATGTGCTTATGTGATATAACTGCCTGAATGCCTGTGGATGAAGGGTGGGTTGCTTGAGTTGGAATAATTCGTCGAAACCCGTGTTTTAGCCTACTTACGAGTAGCAAACTTCAATCCATTTTCAAAACAAATGGATATGAGATGATTTGTTCCAACTTAGGCAATCCAGTCTATACTTGTACGCTATGTGCATCACGTAGTAATTCTAGGTTAATACACCGAAATAAGAACGCATGTGTTTTCAAAAACAAGATATCATGTTTAGTAGTGGCCGATCTTTGATCGGGCGAGCGGGGGTGCTCATTGCATGACCTTCCCCAATCGTACCCAAGTTTCTGAGCCAAAGCAACTTTGGTGATGACGGACACGTGGCATTCGGCACGAGTCAAGGTTTCCTAAATTCTTCCAAAATAAAATATTTAGGTGGCGACTCTGTATCTAGCAAAGCAGTCCATACTTGGCACTTCTTTCTAAAAATCAATTTTTCAAAATGATTTGCCGGATTTGGACTCTTTGGTGATTTATCGGTATTGTATTGCACTTTGCGAGACCAGATTCAGAACCGTGACATTTGAGTCCGAACTGTAGTGAGCCTAATGAACAAAACGGGATTTCTCCCAGGACGTTCGGGCGTGTCTACAGTGACTTGTACGGCTGTCATGTATGCAAAGGTGGAATAGATGGTAAAAAGTAATTGTCTACTCTTTAGGCATTGTACTGGACGGTGCTATTCGGCTCGTGGGAGCCATCACGGGTCCCGTTTTGATAATCTGAACCGTTTAATATGTAGAACTTGTTAAGTACTATATGTCTGTAAAAAAATTACGTTAATCGGATATCGATAGCGATCTAATCAGATTTGTTTTTTTCCAACTGTTAATTATAACATCTTTATTTTTTTATACAAAATTGATTGGATCATATAATCATAGACATCCGATCAATGTGATTTTTTACAGTCATATAGTATTTGACGAGTTTTACACATTAAACGGTTCAGATTATCAAAACGGGACCCGTGATGGGTCCCAACGGGCCGAACAGCAGTGTGGTAAAATTGCACCCGACTGTGCAACTTTTTGCCACACAACAACCGCACAAATTTGATTTCGTCAGATTGATGTGTTGGTGAATAGTGATAAGATTAATTTTTTAATTTTTTTCTTTGGTGAATACTGATAACTTTTTAACTTTTTTGTGACATGCTAAACTTAGCCTTACTCATTAGTTATAAAAAAAAATAGACCCCTGACACATATTTTTTAAATAATTAATAAAAAAACAAAATAAAATAAAACCTGCAAATCACATTAATAAATTGCAACAAACAGTGCCTACATCTTAACTTGTTTTCATTTGCTACCGAAGTTTCCTTCAACATTAAAGTTTTTTTCATTTTAGGGTATAAAATGGGTTTGCGGATTTCCAAACTTACATTCATCAATCATTTTTTAAATATATATGTATATATTGAAAATGCATAAGACGCTAAAATACCATACATATACTGTTACATGTCTGTTTATTAGTCATGTAAAAAAAAATTAAGCTAAATAGAAGATATTCATATCTTGTTTGAGAATTGATTAATTTAGTTGGTTTTTTTTTTTTTGAAAAGATATGTTAAAAAATAGAGAGAATGATGTGACAATTTATAGAGATTTTTTTACGTTTTAGCTAAAATCTTAAGTCCTCAAAGGAGGCTGTACAGCCTAGGAGATTATTAATCTAATTGCATAAAATAAGGGAAAAAACAAACAAGGCCTAGAATTTTATTATGGGTTAATTACACTTTGGGTAAATTACACTTACACCCCTTAGGTTTGGATTCAATACATATCACCCCTGACGTTTAGGAATTTTATTATGGGTTAATTACATTTTGTGAAATGAGACTATTAACTTCAAGGGTGTGAATGCAATTTCCAAAACGTTAGGGGATGGGGTATAATATGATCAAATCTCAGAAAGTGTCAGTGTAATTTACCCTTGCACTTACACACTTTTCATTCTTATAGTTCGATTAAAATTTCAATTCAGTTTCTGTTATTTTAATTTGAATAGTTTTGTCTCTACACTTTAAATCCGGTTTCAATTTAGTTATTTAATCTAAATTTTTGTTAATTTTGTCAGCACGTAAATTTTAGCAAAAATTAATAAATGTCTTAAAATTATTAATTTTTAACCTCTAATTTGAACTGAAGGGCTAAATTAAAATTATATTTAAAATAAATGGACTAAATTATATTCAATTCTAAATTATAAAAACTAAAATAAAATTTAAATCAAATTATATTAGTGAAAAGTGTAATTAACTAATATAGGAATCTCCACCATTGCTATAACCAAAATGCCTAGTAACCTAGATTTACCAACCCAGATTTTTCTAGGTTGGTGTTTGTGTGGTAGAAATTAAGTTTGTGTAGTGTGAAGTGTACATGTAGAATAAATCTGAATCACAAAATCAGTTGTGGTGCCAAAAATTTTAACTCAAAAGGGGCGTCATTGAATTAAAATCTTAACAAAATTCAAAATTCAATTTAACTTAATTTTTATTTGATTGCAGAACTAAAAATTAGTGTGATATAAAAGTAATATTTAATTATAAGCTCAAATTAACTAATTAAATTATATAAAGATGCACACATAAAAAGAGATATAGAGAGTGATAGGAAAATAAATAAAAGAAAATGTAAATAAATAATATATAGGGACTGATATATATATATATATATATTTCAGAGCTTTGAATCACTGAATTGTATGGTAATATATTATTAATTGTTATTAACTATGTAATAATTATTTATAAATAAATAAATGAATTATGAGTATTCATATTAGTTGAGACAGTGAAACATCGAGATTTAAATTTGAGTTTGTGATCGTTTTGTTAGTTTATTAATTCTTAGTATGTTATCATATGATAAAAAATAAATAAAAGTAAGAGAGTGAGGAGCTTACGAGACGGCTGAAGCCGGAGACGCTGGCGAGAGAGACGGCGATAGCGGAGCTAGAGAGAGAAAGCTCACCGAGGTGGCCAACCATCATGGTAGGAACAACTTCCAACAAGTTCTGTGATAAAGTCACCACCACCATCGGTGCTGCTATCCACCCCAACCTCTTCACCTCTTCCCCCACCTCACCCCATACCCATCTTCTCCTCTCTTCTCTCTCATCTTTCAATAACAACAATCCCTCTTCCATCTCTCTCCTCTCTCTCCCACTCAGCCCTTTTGGAATGGGAATTATAATTTATAAACGGAGAAAGAGACACAGTTTGGCATAGATGGACTTCTTCTCATCCACATATTCACTTGAGATTATCATAAAGTTATATTTTAATTTTAAAAAATATCATTTTAATCTATTTTATATATATATATATATATACATATATTTATATTAAAATTAAAATTTAGATTTTATAAACAAAAACATTCATGTATGATATGTATTAACTAACATACGCTCGTGCTTGAAGGCACGATGTAAATAATATTAGTACATATATTTTACAAAAATCAATTAATATAAATTATTAATATTGGTATCACATCCTTTACAAAAAAATCAATTCAAAATGATAATAATTTCACTGTTATAGAAATCAATTATAATAAATCAGTTCATGATGACAATAATTTCACTGCAATATAAAACTCCATACATAAGACTTCCACCACCATCTACGGCAACACCACCGCCGACCGTGAGTTCAGCAAGTATCGTACGATGGCGGTTCGTTTAAGTTAAAATATAATTTATCAAATTCATTGCTAAAAGTTTAAGTTAAAATATTAATTTGTATTTGAAATTTTTATTGAACTTTTTATAGAACTTCACCATCTAAAAAAGTATAGAATTTAAAATAGTTACTAATACAGTATTGAACAAAGGTGTGTTAACACATTTTTAAAATTTTAAAATGTGATTGAATTGAGTCATATAAAAACTTTAGTGTATTTATCCAAAAAAAAAATAAAATTGAGTCATATGTATTTAAATATTTTTTTGATTAAAATAATATTAAAAGACAAAATAAGTTAAAATAATATCAAATTCATAATTATTTTAATCTACTAAACTAACCAAAAATAAGTTACATCATATCTAATTATAAAAAAATTTAACAATCATGCTAAACATAATTATTTTAATCTACTAAACTAACCAAAAATTAAAATAACTTATTAAATTAAGCAACCTCCCACACGCCTCCTATAATTCTGCGTGGCTTTATTATTTTTTTTAGAGACCACACTCCTGTTGTTAATTACACTCATCTTTCCAATTATTTATTGTGTCTCAGATTTGTCTCTTTTTTTGGCTCATTCTCTCTTTTTAATTAGAGACTACACGTATTTTTAGTATAAATAAGAAAGATATATTTAAAAAAACTCTATAATTATTTATTTAAATTAAAAAAACACTCTTTTTTTTTTATTTAAACACTCTTTAATAAATAATACTTAATGGATCCACTTAAAAAGTATAGGATCCTTCTTGGTGAGTGTTTTGTTACTCGTGTGATTCAAACTACAAATAAAACCTTCTTCATGGCATTACGTTTCCGTCTCTCATAGGCTCAGGTTTCTTTACAAAACTGTCTGACTCTCTCTCTCTCCAAAACTTTCTCTCTCTAAACTCAAACCTCATTCCATCTCTCCACAATCAAACGATTCCCAAAAACCATCTCTCTCATACAACTCCTGTAACCTTTGAAAAAAAAGGCCTCCCCTTTCTCTCTCTCTCTCTCTCTCTCTCTATGTATATAGAAATACAAACACAAATATGATTCACGTGTGTTGTGTTCAAAAAAAAAAAAAAATCAATTTGATGGTTAGATCGCTGGTTTTAGCTCGGATCTAATCCTCTAAGTGTATCAAGGCGGCTCCAGCGAGAAAACCGGTGGTTACGCCTCCATCGATGCTATGAGAGAGCCACTTCTGCTCAAGCATTGAGAAAATCTCCAGCATCACTTGATTAGGTGAATTTTGAAACAGGACTCTCTGTGAAAAAGCAACAGGTCACGCTTTTTTGCTGAGAAGCATTAATGGAGTACGAACGCTTAAATCTTAGTCTCTCTCTCTCTCTCTAAAACAGTCACACACCACGTCTGGATGTGATTTCTCTCTCTCCAAGTTAGCGTGACAATGTGTAAGGAAAGAATGGAGAGTTAAAAAGGGAGGGAGGAGAGTGGGGAGCTCTCCAGAAACGTTGGTAGAAGCCTGATGTCGATCCATCCATGGCGACGGCGATGATGAGCGGTGGCAGTGGTGATGAGCAGCAGCGGTGGAGATGACTGGAGGAAATGGCATTGTGCGGTGGCGATAACTAGAGAAGGTGATGAGCAACACCACGGCTGGGTCGTGAGAGAGTCGTCAGAAAGAGATGTATCACTGTCGGAGAGAGATGTACCGGTGTTGCGGTGGGAAGTGAGAGAGAGAGAGAGGGAGGGTGGGTGTTTTGAAAATTGAAAATTGGGAGTGAGACTGAAAGACAAAGAGATGAGAGTTTATAAAGAGTTTGATGAACGTGAGTGTTTTGAAATTTGAAAATTATGAGTGAGACTAAAAGGGAAAAAAAAAAAAAAGAGATGAGGATGGGTGGTTGCAAAATTGAGCGTGGAAAATTTTGAAATCAGCATGGGTGGCTGTTAGACTTTCTGAAATTTTGAAATTTTGAAATCAAGATGGGTGGCTGCAAAAAGAGGAGATGAGGATGGGTGTGTTTTGAAATTTAAAATATGGAAAGATGAGGTGCGACAGATGAGGATGGATGGTGGCAAAGTTTATGGCTCTTGGGCGGGAAGTTCAAGTAAAGTGAGAGAGAAGGTTCTCATCTCAGCTGTTCATCTAAATACAGAAATGAATCATGACCATTAAAATGTCCTAGTATGACAATTGCCTCTAGGATAAATTCAAAAACCCTCTTCCCTTATTATATAGATGGTTGGCACACATGATGCGTATGTATACTATAAGAATTAACACTTTTGACAATAAAAAAATTGGTCGCTAAAAGCGAATTTTTGGTCGGCAAAAGTTATCCGCGATCAATTTTTTTGGTCACTACTTTGGCCCCAATTGAGGGTCGGCAAAAGTAATTCGCGACAAAAATTGTGGTTAGTCAGCAAAAGTTGGATTTGCCGACTAAATTTTTGGTCGCTAAATATTTAATTACCGCGACTAATTTATTTTGTCGCCAAAACACTTTGGTCGCGAAAAGTGATATTTTCCCGACCAAGTTTCTTAGTCACCAATTGTCACATTTCGCAACCAAAAATTTTGGTCGCCAATTATTATATTTCGCGACCAAATTTTTTGGTCGCCAATTATCACATTTCGAGACCAAAAAAATTGGTCACCATTTGTTACTTTTCGCGACCAAAACTTTTTGTCGGCAAAAGTGAGTTTCCACGACCAAGAGCTGTTTTGGTTGGCAATAGATGTATTTTTTGCGACCAAAACTCTTGGTCGGCAATTGTTATTTTTTTGCAAAAAAAATTTATTTATTTGTCCCGATACATCTCTGCCAAGACTGAAAGTTTGAATCTTAATCTAACCAAATTAATCACATACAACTGAAATCAGATAGAGGAACTGAAAGATCAAGCTGTTTTAATCATCATCTGATGGAGATGCAAGAATTTTGGTGAAATAACTGTGCCACATCCTTTACTTCAGCTTTTACACAAGCATCTGTGTGCAGTTTTTCAAACAGGTAATTTAGCAATTTTTATTTTTAAAAGATTAAACTATCCCAAATATACTCAACAAAGATACAGGTTTGCATTTAACATATTTCTGATAGAACACAATCAAATGCATCATCCAAACATCTAAGTGACCAGTGAACAACTCGTTCTTACCTATGTATTATGCATTTTGTTGCACTTGTTGGTGTATTTGCATAATCCAGTCCACATAGCAATTCATACCACCAACTTGGTCCTCAACTAGGTTTGTAGGGAGAAAGAAACCTTCTCTTGGTTGTTCACTGTGTCTTACATGGTGACACAGCTGATAATATGCAGGATCTTCCTCCCTTAATTTCTTCAGTATCCTCATCAGCTTTCTTGGCATTTCAGTATCACGCTCACACAGATTAACTTGATTTTCAAGATTTAACCCAAAAAAAATTAGGAAGAATGAATACAGCATCAGGGGAGGTCAGTTACAGCATATAAAAAAAAGGCCTTCTAAGTATCGCTAGATGTACTTCACAAATTAAAAGAGTCCATGTAGCATACAAAGCAACTACAGTCTATGTGGCATAAATAACCTGACTAAAAATAATAACCTGCTCTAGTTGCATTTGCCAGTTCCTTGGGAAGTTTTCTAATGACCTTTACATCATTAGCCAAGGAACTAATAAAATGATCTTGATCGAATACATCAGAAAAACTGCTGCAGTTTGAAAATGTAATATTAACAATAGCATCGAGCAAGCAGATTTTAGACACAAATGCAAAATATAAATCTGAAAAATGGTGCCTAGTGTCCTGCCAAAATGACTGCTTATCAAGTTCTGGAATTACAAGAGTAGCATTTATAATTCGGGCAACAGCAACCATGTCACATATCTGCAAGTTGAGAAAAATGCAGTTCTTCAGCTTCATGTAATAGACGTATCAATATTCAACGGTATTATGATAGTGATGAAATGTATACGGATGACTTGGCAGCTTCACTTATGCATCACTCTTGTGTCATATAATGTAATTATGGAAAACAACAGTAGTACAATTAGTTATTTATAAATTGCCATGATATATGATGAACAACTGATAGAATGAGGTACAGTGCCAAAATAACAAGTAAAATTAACGCATTGCATGCATATCTGCCAAATAAGACTCATTCACTGCATGTCATGATTACCATAAATACGCTTTGGCAAATTTGGTGTGGAACAGTCCAAAACCATCCGAAACCCATGTGAGTCTAATTTGGTTGACTACTAAGCAATAGTGGGATTAGAGTGGTCACTCACAAAAAGTTATGCATGTTTGGTTTGAGTAAAAATTTCCACCCCTAAAGCTCCAGAGTTTGTTAAATAGCATACTGAACATTCATCGAA